GGGTCCCCGCGGGGGGGCGGAGACGGCCCCGGACACCCCCCACCACCATCCTTCCTCTTTCCCTTCCCCCGGGGCCCGCACCTGGGGGCGACACCCGACCCGAGCCGCCGGCAGCCCCCACTCCTTTTTACGGCTCTTTAAGTATCTTTCGCCGCTAATGGGGAGGCAGCTGCTGTCAGACGCCTAATGCCGGGCTGGTGGCAGGCACCGCGCATTGTCTGCTGTCTGACCAGACATGCTGTTTATTGGGGTCTGAGGGGGGGATCTGTCTGTCTTCCCTTCCCGGGAACGCACTTACAACGTTTAAAGGCTAAAGACACAGAGATCTGACAGCCCAGGAGCTGCGGGAAGGGTCAAACCCTCAAGACAGCCCCTCTCCCAAATTCCCAGCCCCGTGACTCACCTGCTTTCAAATCCTGCCTTGTGCCTTGGACTGTGATAAAAGAATGACAACAACAACAAACCCCGCATGAAACAAAATCTTCCAGCAACACCCCCCCCCACCTCCCCTTGAACCGTGACATTAAAAATCTTAATATCTGCTGTTTCTGAACCTTAAAGCCACACCTGTGATAAAGCTAGGAAGGCTGACTGAAAGACTTCCTAAACCTTTTTTAAAAGAAGAAATATCCGCTATAGTGAAAAGTGAAACAGCACCCGGCACTGATCCATCCCAGGGATAGCTCTGTTAACACCTTGTCCATGAGCAGGCCACTCTGCCTGCAGTCACGTCTTATCCCAAATGAAAGCCAATTAAAAGAACAGGGCAGTGAAAAGAGTTGTTTTGTTGCTCAGCGAGGGTGTCACTTCTATAACAGTATATATTTTTTAAAACTTTGAGCTGGTCCACGCCCCGTTTTCACAGAGCCGTAAGTATAGTCATTTAGAAATGGATGCTGTTCAAGTACAGCCCCCTGGTGCACAGGCACAGCTGTGAGGGGTGGCAGGATGAAATAATATGGACACAAATATTGCTACAAGGGCTCTGAGATGAACACAGCTGCTGTCGTGGATGGAAATAAGCTGTACCCCGTAAGCACCTTTACACATGTACAAGGGGCTGTACTGGATTTTAAACAGATACAGGCAAAGGAGGAGTGAAATTGTTATCCATAAACCAGCCTTTGCTGAACAGTTCCCAAGTGAGAAATGTTCCCAGTGTAATCACAGTGGGTCCAGTTCAGCAATCCATAGGCAGGGGAATCCACAGGAATTTTGTAAGAATAAGGTCTTTTGTAACAGTCTCCAGTTTCTCCCAGAGATCAAAAATTATTTATCTGCTTGGAACCAAAATAAAGCACTTTAAATTTTTTCCCCTTTTCCTTTTTTATGTGTCTACTTGCAGGGAAAAAAAAAAAAAAAAAAAAAGCAACCCCCTCCAAGCCCATTTACAACCCCATTTCCTCCTGCTCCTCTGGTTCGTGTCTTTTTTGGGAACACTATCTATTTTGGGGTAGATTGCTAGCAATTTTTACCTCCTCAGAAGAAATGCTACCCCAAATCAGCACAGCTGGAAGAATGCACTGACATTGCCAGGCTGGGAGCAGAGAGATACAGCGGGACCAGCCACAGGTATATACACACACCTCGTGTGAGAAACGCTTTGCAGACCAGGCTTTGGCTTTTAATGTGCCTTTCAAAGGGCTTGATTGATTGCTGTTAATCCTGTGAACAACTTCGGTGTTGTTAACAGGACTGCCCGCATTAGTAAAGGTACTTGCATGCATTAGTATGCTCCTCGTCCCCATGACGTCAATAGACAGCTTTCCAGTGACTTTCAGGAGGGCTGGATCAGGCCCTTGCTAGCAGCAAGTTTTTAATGAACACCGTTTGTTGCAGAGAAGGGGGGCATAGTGATACATCAGTCCCGACTATCTTCATTCTCCAGGAAACGAGCAAGTAAAGAAGAAAGGCAGGAATAGGCCGAAAGGTTGCTGGAGGGGGATTCTTCTGCTGAACTTCAAAACCCTGGACCCATAGCACACAGAACCGTCATTCACTGAATGATACAAAATAAGCTGCAGAAAAGTTTTGTTCCAAATAAATAAACAATATGTGTGAATTTTGGGTTTTATATAGATAAAATAAATAGCAGGCAAGTTTTGTTCCAATAAATAAACATTATGAGTGAATTTTGTATCTAAATAGTAATTTATCCTTCTTTAGATCTAGGTGGCAATACCAGCCCATATACTCCTAGATTCTCTGCTAGTTTATTTTATGGAGATTTTTTCCAAATAAAATATGAGACTGTTAATAGCAAAGATACACGTTCTGATCACAGTTCAAAGATACAGCTCTCAGCTACTATTAAAGGGCCTGCTCCTGCCAGGTCTGCTAATTCAGCTGGGATTGTTTCCTTCAGTTTGTTGGGCTTTCTAGGGAGCTCTGACAGGATCAGGGCCTATTAGCTATGTAATCTAATAAAATAATTGAGAGCCACATGTGGGTCTCTAACACATCTAACAAAAGGAGAGGGACCATCATCCGCTAAACTTCGGGTGAGAACCCAAGCATCAGGGGATGGGCCCGATCCTGAAAACCTTAATCTGCATTGTTGTTAATCAGTCCACTGTGGTCAGAGGGATTATTCATCTGAGGAAGGATTACTCATGTGAACATTTGCAAGATTGGTCCCTGAATTAATGCATGAATCTGTGTGGGTTGTTTTTGGTTTTGTTTTCTTCTTTTTTTTTTCTTTTTTTTTTTTTTCCCCTCTCTTAGTTAGAATCAAGAAGGTTGAATGAGGAGAGAAATGAAAAACTATTTGCATTCAAAGGAGCTTAGTACAGGATTGTAGTCAATGTAGGCAACAAAAGGTATCACTGTAATAAAAAGGGAGCTTTATTTATGGAGGTCTTTTGTTATTAAAGTAACACTGGTGAGTTTCAGGTGGTAAAGTGAAGGCTGCATAGAAACCAGGGGTTAATAGAGAACAGAAAATAGAAGGGACTGTGTATGCATGTGTTTGCATGTATGTTTAGACACAGGGTTTGTGCAGACACATACATACACATCATTACATTCCACTCAACAGATTCTGCTATTTAAATAGAGCTCTCCAGAATATTCCTATTACCCATGCTATGAACACAGTAAATATGTTGTATCAGTCCTTTGAAAGGAATATCAGGTTTATTATCTCACCATCCCTTTTCCATAGTACTTATGTCCCTGTACACAATGAGTAATGAAAGCAGGCAAGCTTGTATTGTAGGGACAATAATGCTTCATGTTAATATGGTCCTTTTCATCATCAAATCATTGTACAATCATTAACAAATTAATGCTCACAGCGCCTCTGTGAGGAAGGGAGATTTCAGTTTAATAGGATCTGGTAGCACCACCAATTACAAAGGTTGCCTGAGACTTCCTATAATAAAATCCTGTTAAGCTTTGATAAACTGCACATGTTTTGGCAGAAACTCTTAAGTTGGGTGCCTGAATTCCGTTCAAATTCCTTAATTATTTCTGGAAAATTTCAGCTGGAGCTATTTGTCTATCCCTGAGAACAACCCAGAGGAGAACTGTGCTGGTTTGAACTGAGTCAAATGAGATTCTTTGTAAAGCTCTCCCATCCCCATACTTTACAACATGATACTAAGAGCTGACAGGAGGTGAAGCTCTTTCTTAAGTCTTTTTGCTATCTCGGGGAAAATCTGCCCCAAAGTGGCCAATTAAAAGCTTTGGGAAAACAGCAGTTCTCACACACTCACTAGAGATGCA